AAACTTACATAAGAAGCTCACAAATGAACATTCAAATTACTGGGTTTTTTCTTTTTATTATTTAAATGGCAGTTAAAAACACATGGACAAGCATGAAAAGGAAGGTCAGTGCACAAGCCTACTGTCCGTACAGATGAACGTTAACACCAGGCACAGGGTACCACTGAGTGTTAACCACCCCTTCAAACAACAGGATGAAAGGTTGTTCATGTGTAACATCACCAATAGACAATCTTGTCATTCCCTAAAAATTCATTATTTCGTATACCTCAGTCAGGGATCTCTGCATAACTGACTGCACAGATACAACCTGATACTGCAGATCTTCATTGCATTAATTCCCTGTTATTGAGAGGACCTGATGGTAATTTTTACATTCATTCAATTTCATAGGCATTTGCTAACACTTCTAAGACAACATAATTTAAAAATCACTGCAATTAAATCCTTTGTGATGGCCTTCAGTTAAAAAGTAATAGTCAAAGCCATGAAAGAGAGGCAGACATTATTTAATAAACACACTCACAAAGCAAGCTCTAAACCTCTAACAAGACTTTGTCAGAAATACTCAATAGCCGTAAGTTTCTGATGAAAGCCACATTAAGTCAGCTTGTAAATCAATTCCAGCTTTTCCTCTGTAACTCGGATACTTTCAGAAATTACAGAAATTGGAGAGGGGGAAGGGCAGATTGAGGCCACAAGGCAGAGGAGTCTCACACCAGATTTCCTTGGAGCTATTACAGTGTCCATCATCATTTAGTTTAAAACCCCTCCACGGTATAGGCCACCTCAACAACAATCATCGTCAGCAGCAGTCCTTTTCTAGGGAAGGTGCTTGTCAAAGCAAAAGTAAAGGGGCAGTAGTTTGCTTGTGGCTAGAAACAAGCCTTTTAAAGTCTAACAAGGGTCAAACCAGGACCACTCTATGAGCTGCTGTTTTCCTGTCTGGTTTTCACCTGACCAGCTGGTGGTGGCTTCCCCTGACGAGTATTTTTGTTAGATAAACAGAACATCACATGTCAGGGCATGCCATTTCAGCCATCAAGGCCCCGGTGTGTCCCCCACCAGAAGCTGGGTGACAGAGCTGAGGACTGGAGCCAAGCCCAGCCGCCACCAGCAGCCCCCAGCCCTGAGTGTGCAGCAGTGGGGCAAGTAATGGCCGCACCCTGACACCCCTCCAGCGCTGGCAAACACCGAGTAGACACACAGAGGCTTCAAAGTAAGGAGAGAAGGGGGTATTTCACAGGAGATATTTTAAGTGAGACAGAAGTTTCTCTTTTACGTACATTGTAGGTTTAGATCACAGCCATTTCACTTTCCCTTTTTTGTTAGCAACATTTCTGTAGATGCCCTCTCAAATTTAAACTACATACTTAATTGTCCTGTTGCATACTCAGCGTTTAAAGCGAACAGTTCATTGTATCAAGGCAGAAAATCCAGTTTTGTAACCACAGTTAAATAAATTACTTAAGAAATCATCCAGCTTAAATGGGTTTTGCACAACTATAATAAATTATAGATGCACGTGTACTGGTCTGCTGGCCAAAACACTCCAAGATCAAAGGAGAAGCTGAAAATGGACAAGACTATTTATTATCTTGATGAACACCACATTCAAAAAGTCATCATCACAGCTGTGGGCTGTACAAGTACAGAATAAAATGATACTATCCTAAAAAACTCGGTGCTGAAGCAGAAACCATGAAACAGACCCAGGTACAAGGCAGGGATGAATAAATGCATCAACACTTCACTTTTTAATTTCGCTGTATTAAAAAGTATACTTAAATCTCTATCACTTCATCGTGCTGCCTCTGTCATCGTGTAACAATTATGTAAGGCAGTATAATTAAAAATAAACTTCTCACTCCCCAGCAGCAGTTATGTAATAGCTTTGATTAACTGAGATCCTTCATGCTTAAGAGAACATTTAAGGAGTTAAAGTTATAACTCAGTGTCCTTCCCCATAGCTTCACATTCAAATCCTCCAACAGAAACTATCCACATTTTTCTTCTCGTCTCTCCAGTACAAAGACGGTTTGTCAGGTTTTATTTGGTTTTATCTGCTTGCAAGATGCTGTCTCGAGGTCCTAAAAATGCAGGGACATATTTTGTGCAATCTGTCAGCAACTGTCTTCAGATGCAAGGCTACAGGGAGTTGATGAGCTCTTTTCTTATCAGAATGAGTCACAAAAATGGATTATCCACTCTTAATCCTCCTTACACTGGTGAATTTCCTTTTTTTTTTTTGTTCAATAAAAATAAAATAAAATGAAAATTGGCCTGGTGAAACCTTGTAAGAACAGTTTTCCCTTGGGATGCCCTGGCAGAAGAAAACATCACTGCCCTTTCAGAGAACCAGAGAGCTTCCAGAACCCATTCCATTCTTCCATAAAAGCAAGCATCTTACTACTTACAGTACCCATTCCAGCACTGTGGATGGTTTCCCCCACACCTTTTTTTTTTTTTGGTAACATCACGTTCCCCCACATGATATTCAGTAGCTGTGTTTTGGGGGTTCTTTTACCTTTTTTTGAAAAGTTCTCTTCTCTCCACAAACTAAACAAGAAATCATTTAACCTGTTTTCCTCACAAAACCACAACAGCCTTTTTCACCATAAAAGTCTTACTAATCTACATTCGCTTGAAATGCAAATATTTTTCACAAAATCGTTCTGCTAATTTTCATGAAAGCCAACACCTTACGGGATCACAACCCCCACACTGAAACTCTCTTTCAGTTAAATCCCAAAAGAACAAAACCTGAGCTTGGGTAACCTCCCTTCAGTTTTCAATGGGGATTTAGGAAGAGAAGTGTGAGTTTTGCTGCTGTTTGCTAATCCCAACAGAGAGAAAAAGGAATCCAAGCTGCCTGAAAGCTCATCCCTGAAAATAATGTGATTTTCCTATAAGATTAAAAAAAAAAAAAAAAAAAAGCATCTATTCATAGATTTGAGCTTAAAGGGGAAAAAAAAAAAGAGGTCTTCATATTTCTAACACATGGTCCATGGCCAACTTTTAGTCCAAAGCTGCCCCATCAGGCAGCGAGCTGATGGGCAGAATGGAAACCAGGGCTTCATCTTTATGGTTATTTCCTTGCTTATTGGATTTGGATTTTTAGCTTCACTCTGAAACGCTGCCATGCTACATTTAGTATGCAGTAGCTGGCATCACTTTAAAGGCCCCAGCAGATCCCAGTCAGCAAGCCAGATTAGTTACACCACGCAGGAAGGAGGGTTTGTGTGTTTTGGGGAGCCATGGGGAAGCAGGAAGACATTCCACTGCAGTGGTACAAGCGGCAATGGTGGAGGGAGAGGGAGGGGAGGAAAACAAGCCTGTTCTTGGACTTGATTTTCATCTCAGGCAGTGTGCTCTACTTAACTGCACAAGGCCATTACACACTGATACGACTCAAGCGTCCTGGGAGACTCTAGCAGACTGCACAGCACATGAACAGCCCCACTGCCAGAGCAGAAGTTGGTGTCTTGTCATGCCACATCAGATTCCAGGTTAATGCGTGCTGTCAGAGCTGTGGAGCAGCGCAATCAGTGTCTGCATCAGCGCAGCCAGTGTCCTCCAGGTGACACGCGAAGGCAAAGGTGGGTGAGCATCCTGAGAGAATCCAGCAGGGCAGCAGCACCTCTGGCTAACATTCCTCCTCCTCCAGAAAACATCCTGCCATTCAAGGTTTCACCTTCCACCCATATGAAGGAGGCTACCCTAGGACAGAGTTCCACGTGCCTGTGCCTACTTAATTTGCCAGTCGCTTCCAAGAGGGTTTGGGGCCAAGTGCTTCCTGTAAATTACTCCTTCCTCTGCAAAATGGAATTAAGTGAAGGATCTATTTGGCCCATGGAGCATGTGAAGAGAAGAATTAGATTTTATCTCATTCCATTACAGAAAGTTCCAAAATGGAGACAAATTTTCAGTCATAGTTTGATAAAAGTTATTACAAAAATACAATGCAAGAATGTGAAAGGTTTTTTTCTTTTACAAATCGTTTAAAAATATACAGTTTATCCAAAGCATGTACATCATTAAAGATTTATAAATTACAGGTACAGAGGAAGAGGATAAGGAGAAAACATTAATTTTTAAAAAATTTTCTTTCCCAGTTTTTCAGGTAGACAAGAAAAATCTTTAAAATAGAATCATGAAGATTACTCTGCAAGAAGAAAAAGAAAAGCCCCTCACATGCAACTTAGACACCAAACAAAGTTAAACATATATTTGACAATCTTCTATTCATTAAAATATACATTTGGCTAATCCCCTTGAGCTGGAAAATTTCCAAAATGTAGCCAAATGCATCCTGGGCTGCATCCAAAGCAGGGTCAGCAGCAGGTCAAGGGATGGGACTCCACCCCTCTGCTCTGCTCTGGTGAGACCCACCTGAAGCATCCAGCTCTGGGGTCACCAGCACATGGACCCATTGGAGTGAGTCCAGAGGAAGCCATCGAATTGATTAGAGGGACAGAGCACCTCTCCTATGAGGAAAGTCTAAGACAATTGAGATTGTTCAGCCTGGAGAAGAGAAACTTTGGGGTGACTAATTGAGGCCTTTCAGTACCTGAAGGGAGCCTACAAGAAAGATGGAGACATCAGATTTTTCAAGGGCATGGAGTGACGGGGCAAGGGGGAATGGCTTCAAACTGAGAGTAGGTTTAGATTAGATAACAGGAAAAAATTCTTTACTGTGAGGGTGCTGTGTCACTGGCACAGGTTGCCCAAAGAAGTTGTGGATGCCCCATCCCTGGAAGCATTCAAGGCCAGGTTGGATGGGGCTCTGAGCAACCTGGTCTAGGAAAGGTGTCCCTGTCCATGGATTGGAATGAGATGATCTTTAAAGTCTCTTACAACCCAGCCTATGATTCTATGATCTGTAACATAAAATTAAGGTACCATCTTTTCCCTTCTATCCTGTCCCGTTGGTTTTGAGTATTTCTGCATTTTTTCCACTAACACAGGAAGACAAAGTTACTTTATTATTTTGGACCTACCCCTTGGAAACACTGCTTCCTCAGCAGTCAAATTTTGCCTAGGGTGTCAAAGGAGGATACCCTGCATGTGAGGAGATAAAGGAATAGCAAAACAATTGCATGAAATATTATGACTATCTGGCAATTATACCACTTTATCAATACACAAAAAGCACGTAAAAGGATAAAAACATATCAGGTCATGTTTTGGCCACCAACCATTTCAGTGATGAGCCTCCTGGCTTTGCCTTTGTCACCTCTGACAATGCTCTGGATGCCCTCACTGATCATCACTCAAAGGCGGTGCGACAGTACTTGCTGCACACCTGTCAGGCTTACAGCTCCTTTACCTCCCCAGGAGGAGAACTATGCAGTGTTTAGATGGTAAAGGTGGTCCTTTGGAACCATACTATTATTTTAGCATGACATGCACACAGAGTGCCATCGTGGGGCAACCTGGTACCAAGTAATCCCAGTATTTTGTCACTGTAGGAACTGCAGACTGGACTCATTTCAATTCTGTTGCCTATATGATAGATATGAATGCATGTTTGAGCCACTAGAGAAAAACACGCCTTTTTCAGGGAACAACTGATTGGATTTTTCTAGACATGGACTTGAAAGCTACCTGAACTGCCTGAAGCACTGCCAGATTTTACACACTGAATGTAAGAGCAAAAGCTCTGACAGCATTTATTTTTGGTCAGATGATCCCGAGCCTATATACTTGTATACTGATTATATTATTAAAACCACAGAAAACACGCCCTGCAAGAAATCCAGCGCCTGCCTCCAAGAAGTCAGCTATTGCACAAGGGAAAAAAAAACATACACAGCTAATTCTTGAAGAAATTACTAAAGATTAAAGCACTATATTACTGGCATAAGTGCTGAGCTGCTCCTACTATTTTCTTCCTGCTGTGGAGGCAGTGCAAAGCGCCTAGTCTCAGAGCTTGGCTCTGCTGGAGTCCAACCAGGATCAGTCCAAAAGCAATGCGATGTCTTACCTCTGATGTTCAGCTTAGCCCCACACGACTCTCAGACTGGTGTTTGAGAAACACACAAAGCCCACTGACAGTCCCTCGAGTGGAGCAGCATGATGATGCAGAGGGGTTTCCCTCTGCATAACACACAGGAATACGATGATCCAAAAGTGACCATCCAACTATCAGCATCACACAGAGTTATTAGACAGCAGAGAAGAAATGCTCTGAGGAGATGAAGAACTGCATTTTAGTAACACTTCTATCCTTCTTACAATAATTTAATACCAACAGGAAAAAATACCAGCCCTTTCTATAAATATACATAAAGTATTACTACCATGTGTGTGGGAGAAGGGTTTTTACACTTTCTTTCATTGCAGAGCTTAAATCCTGGCGCTATCTCAAGAGAAAGATGAAGCCAAGGGTCTGCTGCAGGGCCTGTGCATGCACCACAAACCACCAGGCGCCCTGGCACAGCCCAGCCCCATCAGCAGCTCTGCTCCAGAGAGACAGGACCAAAATAACCCTGTGGGAAAACTTCCAGAGCCATTACCTACCCACTTTCACTCTACATACAATTCACACTAATCTTCAGAAGTTCCCTGTTTTGTTCAGTAAGCAACAAATCTACATAAGGAAACCAGCAGTGGGATTTAGAAGAAACAGGTTCGGTGCTTGGAATACACCCCCATGAAGAAGTACAAGAAGGCAAGGGATAGGCCGCAAGAGAGCCTACAAAAATAAAAATAATATCATCTGTAGAACAGATACTGAAGCACTTTTTGTTTTAATACACAGGGATGGCATCTCCTACACAGGAGAATCTGCATACAGATGTCCGTACACAGAACCTGAACAGCAAAGCACACATATGGGAAATGCCCCAGGTTGGAACAAGCTGGTTTCTACCTGCCAACCATCAGGCAGATCTGTAAGTCCCTCTTTCTGTGCCCTCCTTTACAGGGTTGAGTGTTTGGACTAAAGAAGCATTTAGGAGAAGGAGGGATGGGCTTTGAACAGTCTCTGCACCATGACCACAAATCAAGCAACAGCATCAGAAGGCTAAGACCACGAGTGCTATCAGAAGGGCAGCTGCAAAGAGTCCCCATATGGGTGACCTCCTGCCCACATGATTGAATTTACCAGCCATGCAAAAGTCGTAAGTATGGCCATGAAACATAAGCTGCTGTCTCCTGTGCTGAAGGGTTAGCAAGGGTCAGTCAAAGGCAGCTTTGCTGCCACAGCACCAGACCAGCTTTATACAGATGCAGATCCTCTGACACCCCAAAGCACGTCTACACAGGAAGATTTATCTAGGTTAAAGTAAATTTGGATGTAAACCGAAATTGCTCTTCTTGGTTAATGGGACATGGAGGGAAGTAAAATCAATTTGTAATAAAAGTTCCCAAAGGCCAGCTGTCAGGGAATTCACCGTGAACAGCATCTCATGAGGATAGGTCTTTAGTTTCCTCCTACACTACCCAAGATCCTTCAGCCAGGCAGGAAACCACCAAATACCAACAGAACCAGTGAAAACAAATTGTCTCATGCTTTTTCTGGAGACCTCTGCAGTGAGAAGTGGGGCCAGTGCCAAGCAGAGAGAATGGAGACTGGCACCCAGAGCTAAATCATTCCCTGACCTAGCCTTTTGGAGAGAAGTTTCTGCATCCTGCAAAGAGAAAGTCAGGCCCCAGACTTGCGTCATCCCACCCCTGAGTCATCCCACCACGCAGATCCTCTCCCTTACCATCACTCCTCAGCCAGGCTCACATAATTATTACTGCAGAGCTGCAATCATCCCTGTGCAGCCAGAGCAAAGCCAGCATCTCTGCCCACATACAGAGGAAGGGGCACGCTTACCCCAAATTCAGCATCTGAATGTGAAACTGAGACTCCAGGATAAGATGGGGAGGTGGGGAGGGCTCCCCACAGGCTCCTGAAGGAATTCAAGCAGAGATACAGGATGCCCTACATACAGGGGATAGGAGCAGGGACAGAGGAGCGGTGGGGGATGGATGCTCTGTGCCTTCCTTGTGCATATGACCAGGTTATGTCAGGTGCTATTAAGGCATGAAGCGTGAGCACGCGTGTCTGAAACCCCACTGCAGACTGCGCCAGCAGCCTTGAAATGAAACCTCCTTTAAAAAAAAAAGACTTAAAAAAACCACAAAAACCAAAAAAACAAAACAAAACAAAACAACAACCAAAAAAAAAAAAACACACAAAAAAAACACACCAAAAACAACAACACACCCTATGCAGCAGTTAAGAGAGAAAAATATGTGCCCAAAGGTGCCCAGGGGAGCAAACCAAGGGGACCTCTGCCCCCAAAACCACCCTTCTCCCCTGGGTTGAGTGCTGCTGCCGTTTCGTCTGCTCAGCTCCTCCGCCCGTCCATGTCCCCCGAAGGCAGAGCTGCAGCCGCCGGGGAGCTCCGCCGTGCCTTCAAAGAGCCTAAAGTGGGTCAGCGGAACGGAGAGAAAAAACCTGATTAAAGCATGAAGGAAGCGAGCAGACCTGCTGGCTGAGAGACAGAAGAAGGCAGAGGCTCCACATCTCCTCGGAGGCACAGAAAGACAAGGGCTGCTGGTTCCCCCTTTCACAATTGCAAGGCGGGAGCTGTAATGGGATGCAGGGAACATAAACACATTTGGGGATGGGGAAGTATAAGAAGATAAGTGTGTCCCTCTGCCCTCCGTTCCACGCTTCCACTCAATTTATTCTCATTTGAATCGAGTGAAACAATTTAAACCCATGCAAATCTAAAACCCTTCATGAGCCTTGTGGCTATGGTTTGCACCATCCTTCCTTGTGCCTGGGTAAACCCAGAGACACTGGAGGAAGAGCCCCAACAGTGGCCAAATTCAAGCAGCACCTTTTGGACGCAATTAAAAATGCTAAACAGAATAAACAGGACACCACTAGGATGGTTTATTTTCCTCATTTCTCTGACAGAGACTTCTGACCTTAAAATAAAACAAGCCAAATCTACTTCTGCGCTGGTAGGTGGAGCGTAGCAAATGGATTTGGGGGCTGCCAAGTTCCAGGAGTGGGGTGGACCCTCAGGAAACACATGACTGCCAGAACCATAATTGAGGTGACGTTTGAAAAGAAAGTTTTGCAAACCATGAAACTTGGAGCAGCGGAGAGCTCTTGCTGGGACCAAGGCTCTGCTGGTGTCCAAACCAGGTGATGATAGATAATAGAGACCTTGTTATCCCCCCCATGCCACCAAAACTTCAAGAACTATACACCCCACCTCCCCACCTGGGCTTTTTGAAACCTAGCAAAAATATGACCTCGCTCTGGAAAACACCCTCCCAAGCCACATCATGGAACAGAGAGGCAGGTTTTTCTCCACAGATCCTGTGTAAAACAGCTCAGATCCCCTACAGAGCTGCACACCCACCAGTGTGGTCTGTGGGCCCACACAAAACCATTGCACCCTTGTCCTGACCGCTGGCTCCAGGGTGGGCTTTATACTTGTTTAAAGACTTCCAATGAAAATATCAGCTTAAGAAATCACAGCAGCATGGGATGGGTGGGGAGAACATTCCCCACGAGAAAGAATCTGAGCTCTGTAATTGCACATATCATATCTAGATATTGTTGTAAAGAGCTCTGCCTACAGAAGGAATAGGAGATTTGATCTAGTACGCAAATAAAAATCAGAAATCTCTCCTGCCAGCCATGAAAAAGGCTATCAATAATTCATTTTAACAAAAAAGGAGATCAAAGTAAAATGCTGTGTTAGTTTGACATTTTGATATGTTGGTTCAGTGTTTTTCTTTAATGTAATATGTAACAAACAGCAGAGTTCATCTATAAATGCCAGACACGCTTGTAAATTGTTGAATATAGCAAGTCCTATTAATATTCACTTAGACTTTTTAAATTAATTCACTTTGACTGCCTTTACATCACTTTTACTGCCTCTACCCAGCAGTTGTAGGTCAAGTGGAGCTCTCAGAAATGCTACACAGAGTTTCCAAAGATAAAGTTTCAAATTTGTAACCACATTTCCATTTATTTCTTCATATTACCCACCACAAAGCCTAATGTTCAACCCAACTTGTTTGACTATTACGTACTTGCTGTGAATTGCTTCTGAAAATTGTAGAGTGAAGAGCCAGAATGAGGTGCTTGTGTCCTAAATCAACTGCCTGTGCAACTTCACTCTCATATATTGTGGTTTGATTTCACTTACAACTTCCTTATGGGCATTTGGTGGAGTGGATGAAGTATATTATACTCCAGAAAGCACAGGCTTGCAATCCACAGATTTCAGTGTTATGTTGCAAGAGGTATTTATTGCAGCGGAAAACTGTTGGCAAATTTAACATATATTGCTCAAGCTCGGTCTGCATTCCCTTTGGTGTGCAGAAGATACAAGGGGACTGACATCTTCTAAATTTAATTAGGGTAAGGCAAATTTCTTGCAAGACAAAATCCCCTGTAAAATGCAGAGAATGGTTAACTCTCTGTGACTTCTCTGTTCCAGGGTCAAGCAGAAAAGTAAATACTCCTGTTGTTGCATCACTTTGATTCAGGATTCTCTTTCAAGTACATTTTTAGGCAATATTCAGGCAGCTCTTTTTAACACTATTTCCCTAGAGGAAAGTCCTTGATGGTAATAACCTTTGTTAGAGGCTGACACTTGCGTGTGCTGTCTTTGGAGGGCAAGCAGTTGTTACTCAGGTTCTGAGCATGGATCTTACAGCCTCTTGGTTATATTTTTGTAGATCCATGGGTTTTCCATGTCTTGTATATTTAAAACTACTACTTACACTGGCTGGTCTATCTAGAAAAGAGCTGTAGTTTGAAGGAGGGGGCAAGTTACTGAATGTGATGACAGTACAGATGGTAAAACTATTACCTGATCCAGATGATAAAGTCATACTATCTTTTTTATACCCAGTCTGTTGTGAACAGAAAGAACCAAAATGATTTTTATTTATTTTTTCCGCCAACTCTTTACAGAGTACCATGCCGACACTTGCATCTACTAGAATCCTATGGTGCTGCTGACGCTCCAAAAACAATGCTCACAAAATTGTGCATCCCTTGGCGGACTGCTTTTAGCCATGGCAGCAATCAGGGGGGTCATCTTCCCCACCAGAGATCAAACTGCCAGAGGTGAGCCTTCTCCTCCCACACTTCAACCCCAAGAACTCCTATCCCCAAGAACTCTCATCCCCAGGAAATCCCA